CAAACACCAAAGGACATACTTTCTACTCAGCACCCCATGGAACTTTCTCCAAAATCGACCATATACTGGGGCACAAAACAAAGCTCAGCAAATACAAAAAGATTGAAATAATTCCATGCATTCTATCAGACCACAGTGCAATAAAGCTTACAGTCAACACCCCAAGAAGCCTTAATCTCCACATGAACACATGGAGATTAAACAACACATGCCTGAATGATGAATGGGTCAAAAGAGAAGTTAAGAAAGAAATAAAAGTATTTCTGGAATTAAATGAAAAGGACAATACAACAAGACAAAACCTCTGGGACATGCTGAAAGTGGTCCTAAGAGGGAAGTTTATAGTTCTAAGTGCCTACATAAAAAAATCGGAAACAGCCAGACGTGGTACCACATGCCTTTAATCCTAGCACTGGGGAGGCAGAGGCATGCGGATCTCTGTGAGTTCAAGGCCAGCCTGGTTCAAAAGAAGAGATTAGTATTCGAATTGGTAGTTCTACTGGTAAGACCACGTGATTGTCAACTTCTAAAAGTCTTCTTTGAAAAGATAAACAAGATTGACAGACCGCTAGCCCAGTTAACCAAAAGAAAGAAAGAGCACCTCCAAATCAACAAAATCAGAGATGAAAGGGGAAACATCACAACAGACACCAGAAAGATACAGAACATCCTAAGGGAATACTTTAAACATTACACCCACTTCCCATATGGCACCCTCCCATAGCCTCCCTCCATCCCTTATATTCTGATATCCCTGCTACTGTCGGCTGTGTTGTAGGCACCCCAGTCAATCCCCACTACTTGCCCTTCTGTTGAATCTAGTTAGCCTATCTAGAGGTCTTTGTTTTAGGAGGGTCAGCTGTTCCTCTTCTAGCAGCAATCAGTTGTCAATGTTTCTTTAGATAAGATTGGGGTCTTCTGTTCATTTTCCCAGTTCTATGCTGGGTTACTATCTGGGAGCCCCTTGGGCCACCCTGGCCAACAACTCAAAAGAAGGTATCTCCTATCTGGCATTGTT